CGCGGGTGACAGGTGCTGCCGCCCCCGCCGCTGCCGCCGGAGCGGGCGCCCGAAATTTCTGGAGTGACGACGGACGCGATGTTTGTCGCTTTTCAGGTTTGAAGACGCCGCTGCCGGAGCTGGGTCTCGCCCGCCCCGGGTCTTCCTCTCTGTAGTTTCCAGTAAGTTTTGGCGCTCCGGTCCCAGCCTGCGGGTGAATTGGGCTGTCTTTTGGGAATGAGGTACAATGAATCGCTCTCGGATGTGATACCAGCTACTGAAAAGTAAACCAGCAGGATTGTAATTTTTGTTACCGTTATTGCTTGGAAGTTCTTTCAAAATTTGGGGGGAATCTTTAGCATTTGGGATGTTTAACACATATTGAACAGGAGTGATTATTACACGGTCTGCCATTTCTCTGCATTCCTTTTTCTCCTGTTACCTTTGCGAGATTTTTCAGTTAAGAAGAGTAATGCTTTTATTACTAAAGATCGTGTTTCTTATACTGAAAAGTCCGTGACTTTTTTTCTACACCATTTACCATTGCATCTTTACATAGTAAATGTGACTGCAACCAGAATCATCAAGTTGATAAATTTGTCTTGTAGCCATAAAAATATTTGTGAAACCTTATGGCAAATTAGAATACTATATTAAAAGTCTCTATAGAAATCTAAATTTTTTCCTTAACTAGTGGTTAAATCCTATTTAATGAGTTGTTCTTGTCATATACGGTCATTAAAAACTTAGCTATATGATGCAGTATCAGTCTAATGCCCTCAACTCCACAGAGTAAGAGCAAGAACCTAGTTGATAAAAAGAGCGGTGTGCCTGTGGAAGTGGTCCAGACCTGTAATCCCAGGAAGATCACTAGTTACAGCTGACCTTGCCTAATTTAGCAATATTCTGTTTCAGAGTATACAGAGAGAGCTGGATATGTAGGTCAGTATGGAGGCCCTGGGCTCGATTCTCAATACCACCCCTCAAAAATATTGTGGGCAAATCAAAATACAGGCCCTTTATTCATAATGGAATCCTTACATCCTTAGTCAGTATCTGTTTGCCCTATGTGCCTGGCTGAGGGGTGGGCTACACTGGTAATTGAACCCAGGGTCCCTGAGCCATGTACCCAACCCCACCCCCTTGAGACAAGGTCTGGCTGAATTGCCCAGGCTGGCCTTGAACTTGCATTCGTCCTAGCTCAGCTTCCCTAGCACCAGGGAGTTGTTGCTGGGAATTGAATCCAGGACCTCACGGTGTGCCACCCAATGGCTGTACCACTGTGTTACAAATTAATTTTCATTTTTGGGGGGCAGTTTAATTTTGTTTGTGTTTTTAATGGGCGGTATTGGGGAATGAACTCGGGCCCTCCTGAGTGCCAGGCTACTGAAGTACTGAGTCACTGCTCTCACACCCCAAAGCATATCTTTGAGTGCTTAGAGAACTGTACACTTGGGAGATGTAAACATAACACGCAAAAAATCCTCTCGGTTCAATAAACTTGCCTTCTATAGTCTGTCAGGAATACAAAGAAGAGGCCTGATCTTGAAATCAGGACCCTGGAGGGCTAAGCATAACAATAAAGAGATTATTTTTATGGAGTCTCTTTATTAGTAGAAATGAATAAGAAATATGGAAACTGATTAATTTGAGGGGCAGTCAGAGAATGCTTCAAAGAGATACTGGCTCTTGAGTGAATTAGAAATTTTAAGTAGAAGAGGAAAAGGGCTTCAAAAGCAAAAGAAATAACAGCATAAAGATAGGAACAGGTTAACTATTGTGTTAAGGAAATTCTAAGTAGTTGGTTTTCCTGGAGATCAAATAACCCTAACATAGGCCATAATATTCAGTAAGTCAGATAATTGGCTTTTTGGATATTGAATATAAACTGAAGATTTCATATACTTTTGACATCCCTGTAATCTATACTGGAATTGGTGGTTTTTAACAATGGTGGTTGTTAAATTATAAAAGATAACAGAATAATAATACATTTGTGAGTTTCTTGTGTGTTTATTATTGTGAACTTATGTGTATCTTAAATTTTCACCTAAAACATTTCTATTTTTTTCAATTATCTTTTGAATTTCTTTTGTCTTCATCTACTTTTTTTTTTTTTTTTTTTTTTTTTTTTT